ACCTCATTGATTAGCACAATTAAGAATTCTTATAAAGCTATATTACAATGTACCCAGGATGCCCTGTACACATTGTCACTTCCAAGGTTCTGCTATCATCACAGGGTGACAGAAAAGTGTAAAGAAAAACATCAACCTATAGATGTGCAAATGCAGCTTTGCACAGTCTGTGAAATGGATGATTAGCACTCTTCACTGTTCTCAAATTTCAGAATCAACAAAACATCTTTAAATATGCTCATCAAAAATGAAGCCAGAGGGGTTGAGGCAGTTGCCTGCTGTTGCATGGCATAGGGTGGCCTCCATGTCCCTAGGATTCAGACCTTCTGCAAGCTGACTGCTGATACTGGCAAGGCTTTCAATCCCATCCAAAAGAGGCCATCGTGACAAACCAGCCATAATTGCTACTCACTTTGAGCAATATTGTGTTCAGAAAAATCCTTGAGCTGATGGCTTCAAGTGAAGCAAAATAAAGCAACGAGAAACTACTGAAATCAGCACTGGGCAGAGCTTTTATTAACGCCCATCCTCTCCTCAGAGTCTGGCCAGCTGGCTGGGAACACATAACTGGTTCCCCATCCATCAAGAAAATTCAGCAACCTATTCCAGAAATGATGCAGAGATAGCTGTTTTGCAGTGACCCAGCCTCTTCAAAGCACAGAAAATGCATTATATCTCAAAAACCATTAGTAGCTCACACGTGGGCTCCAATATCAACCTGGAATACAGTGAGAAATAAGAGACGTGTTTGTGAGGCATCACTGGACTCAACGCTCATTAAAAACCCTGGCTTTCAGAGTGATAGCATTTTAACCCCCTTCTTCAGTAAAAGCCCCTGTACCCTCATTTACACACTAATGAACCAACAAATGAGTCTCTGAGCAAAACATGGGATTCTGAGTGTCTGGCAGCTGGCAAGAAATATTAAGCTGGCATCTCTCAAAATCCCCAAGTACAGAATATCAGAAGGTCAGGATCTTACTAAAGACAAACCCATTTTTGCTAATTCCAATGTCAATTTTTGGACTCTTTCATACTTCAATGTTTTCTGGGTTGCCAATATGATTTGTTCCCTTTGCTTTATTTCTTCTCTGGCCATTCTTAGCAGCATCCTCTCAGCTCCTCCTCCTAATAATTCCTATATCCTCCCTCCACTTCATATGTTCATGAATATGTATTAAGTGCGCTATTAGGTCCCCTGAGAAAGAGCAGCCCTTAAGTGCTATAGGGACACGAACCCCTTTCTGTTAGGTTGAAAGGATAAGGAAGGTGGGAATTCCTCACCCAGAGAGGAACTCTGATAAATATCCTGTCTGCAGAAGAGTCAGCATGTATCAATGAGGTGAGACAGTGGGGCTAGGGAATAGCAGGTTTAGAAAGGTGGGCCAGTCCATACATACCTGGGGGCCCATGCAGTACGTCTAGCCAGCAAAGGGAAGCTGTTGAATAGAGTCTAGGAATTATCCAATGATGTTTTAGTTTGGAAACAATCTCTCTTAGCCCACTAATCCTCTTACAGAATGAATTTAGTTGAGTGCTCCATTTAGCCAGTACTTTCAATATGCATGCCTAGTCTGTTCTTCCTGTTCTCCCCAAATTTTTAATCTGACCTTCACAATTTCATCATTTTCCTTCTTTAGCACGTGATAGCTAATCTCCCCCAGAGCTCACCTTTGCTTCAATCCTTTCCTGCATGGCCTAGAGAGATGGGACCAATTCCCCGCACCTTGACTCTGCACCTCTGCTTACTTTGCCCAACAGAATGGATGACAGACCATTCTGGGACTCCCATGCTCAGTCCCAAAGATGCCTGGCAGCCCCTACTTTCTTCCTCTTGTTTCCAACCACCAAATTGGGGGTACATATGCACCTGTGGAAAAGGACAGGGAAAGAAAACCCAAGTGGCACAACACTCAACCCCAGCTAAGCTTCCAGCCACTGCCAACATTCTCGCCAGCCAGCTTATTCCAGCAGTGTGACTGTGTTCCCTGGTATTCTAACTCCAGCTGACTACTCTTTGAAAGTGTTACATGGAATAGACAACCAGCCCAGCCACACGGGCCCAGTCAGTCCACAGCATCCTGAGAATAATAGGAGTTTTCTGTTTATTTAAGCCACTAAATTTGGGGTAGTTTGTTCTGTAGCAATAGATTATGGGTACCATGTCTAAGACAGGCTTAAATAATATTCTCTGTAAACGATTCATGTGAGCATGAAAGCCATACATTTAGCAGTTTACTTCAGAAAGAAGTCCTACATCCCACTGCTCAGAAAAATTAAAGCATAAGGCACGGCAGCCTCTATATGCTCCATCAGCAATTCTGGAAGACTCTGTCAACAGGAACAGAGCAGAAGATGAAAGAGAAAATTTGCTAAGTAGAACTTAAAGGCAGATGTAAGAAAAACAGAATTCTGAGCAAGGCACAGAAAGAATATGGCATTATTCCTGAGGGCCTGTGTCATATGTCAGGCAGAAACTACTGTATCTTTGCTCCTTGAAATTCAATTATACAGAACATTTGAGCAACTCTTCCTTAGCCAGAATGGTTGAATCATCAAACTTTTTATATTTGGGAATTAACAGTTTTACACACAGACATAAAAACCCATCTTTTATAGCCTTATTATAAAATCTATTATTGATTCCAGATGAAGAAAACTGAATTAGGAACTGTGAAACACATTCTTTCTTTTTCAACTGTTAAAATACCCTCTTAATACATATGCCATGACTAAATGTTTATCATTGCCAAGTACCACATTAAACATGCTACAAACACTCATAGAGATTTTATTCCGAACTCTGTGAAGTTGGCATTTCCTTCACTGTGCAAAGGACAAATGGAATAATCAAAAGTTTTAAAGATGGCACATTTTATGGCTATAATTTACATCCTGATTTGTTCAACCTCAAAGCTTTGTTTATAAGCCGTCGGCCATAGTGCCTATTACTATCTGAATTGCTACCTCCAAAATTCGTATGTTGAATTCTAAACCCCAGTACCTCAAAATGTGACTTATATTTGTAGATAGGGCCTTTAAAGAGGTAATTAAAAACAATTGAGGTTGTTAGGGTAGTCACTGTCCAATCTGATTGATGTCGTTATAGGAAGAAAAGATTAGGACATAGACAAGCACAGAGGAAGGACCATGTGTAGACACAGGGAGAAGATGGACAGTTGTAAGCTGCAGAGAGTGGATCAGAAGAAACCAACTCTGATTGGGCATGGGTTGGGGGTAGCAGGGGGGCTATCAAGAGGTACCACGAAGGAGCCTTATGATAATGGTAAGTTCTGTATCACAATTGTGACTACACAAAGATACACATGATAAAATTTCATGGATTCCCCCCACCCAAATACACCACCCAAATAAATAACAAATGAAATCTGAACAAGCTCTGTGAATTGTGCCAATGTCAATTCTCTGGTTTTGGCATTGTGCTATACTAAAGTAAGACGCCAACATGGGTGAAGGTGGGGTGTAGGGTGCACAGGGCCTCCCTGTACACATATTTGAAACTTACTATGAATCTATAGTTACTTTAAAATAGTTTTAAATTTTTTGTAAGAGAGTAATCCTGCCTACTCCTTGATCTTAGACTTCTGGTCTCTGGAACTGTGTGCAAACAAATGTCTGTTTTTTTAAGCCATCTAGTCTGTGGTACTCTTGTTACAGGAGCCCTAGCAAACTCATACAGACCCTAAGAAAGAGATGACCCAAAGTTCAGCATAAAAGTTCACATGCTTCATCCCCTCAAAAAGGGACTATATACTTTGACGTTGGACAGTTTTCAAAGCTCAGTTGTCCAAACTGTTTTTTTCCTACCTCTAAAATATTAAATATATTTAAGTAGAGTACATAGAGATTATGGGTGTTTTTTAATGAGCATCTTTGCAGTCATCACTTAGGTGAAGAACATTGCCTAGCAGTATCCCAGAAAGTTCCCATTGCCTTTCCCATTACTGTCTTGAACTTTATTTAAGCAGTAGAAAATGCCAGCAACTGAGGAGATATTCTTCTAAAAACAGGTCCAATGATTCAAGGGAAATAAGACCCCCGCAGCAAAAACAGAAAGAATTAAAAGTCCATAAGAAATAGAATTGTTCAGGCTTCTGGAAGGAGCAATATAGGATGAACCTATTAGCTGGCTCAAGGGGGCTCACTAAGTGACCATGGAGGACAGTGATAGATGGTCACACCATTCTCTGAATCCTAAAAAGTCCAGACTCCTTTCTCCCTCCAAATGGAACCAAAGAGGTCTGCCTCATTAGAAAATTTATTTTATCTTAAGATGGTCATCATGTATAAAATAGAAGGGATAGTCTAGATATCTTTATTTGGCTAAGTAGTTTAACAAATAATTTTACTACTCCTAGAAATTTTTCTTGCCTAGATTCTTGCTCTTTAGTCATCTGCTCTCCATAACAAACTGCCTTGACTTATTGACGAATCCTTTGTTTCTTGCCCTCAGGAGAAAAACTAGTAGAATATTATTATACTTTACTTATGTCAAGTGGGCAACATGGGTTGCTTGTTTCTCTGACCAGCTAAAGGCGAGAGTCTTTATTAACTTAGCCACCTTTGCAACAGAGCTCTCCCAATGCAAATGAAGATGACTCCGCCTGGGCATCCCATAGGCACATACCTTCTGCTGTTGATGGCAACCGCTGCCATTCAGAGAGCAAATGTACTCTTACACATGAATGCTTCATACCCAAATATGCAGAGAAAAGGTGTTATGCATCTATAATGCATGACCCCTAAGGTGACTTTGGACAACAAGTGGGAAAACCTGAACTTGCATGTAAACACAGAAAATACCAGCAGGGGGGGACAGAGCTGCTTCTCAAAGTCCTGGTCACTTGCAAAGCTTCATGAGGAGCAATGGTTCCAATTATAGATAGCATATCCAGCATTTCTATAAAATGTTCAAATATGCTTGATCGCCACATATATGCAAGCAAAAAATCACTTTTCCTTTTGTCCAGAGTTCTTACCTGTTATAGAGAAGAATGTCTGGTTTCCAAATCTGGCCATCTGGAAAACGAACAGTCTTCACGCCTGGATATTCTGACATATTCCATTGTAAATAGTGATCTGTCCAAGACTGGCACACAGACAATGACATTAGCAGCACTTTGCTTCCTGACCTACTTATATTTCTTGTAAGAGATTATTAGGTATATTCAAAGTGAAAAAGAGTTCCAGTCATTTATATTTACACAAACTGAGTTGCTGTCTATACAATATTAGGCAACTGGGAATTAAATAAATCCTTCCAAAATGATCATGAATAGCATAAAAATCACATTTAAGTTTCTGCTGTCACCATGACCACATTCAGATGGTAACATTAAAGCTAATTCCAACCCACTGCATGCCCTCGAGCCTTCTCTCCCACAGTGATGGGTTCCTTCTAGCCAAATGAATAACTCTTCTGCTTTTCAAGTTTTCATTCTAAGGACATTTTGAAAAAAAAAAATTTATTTATTTCAACTGGAATAAAAATCAGGTTGTGGAAATATACACCATTTATTTCCATGAAAACAGTACTGTGCAAATGCATGGGAGACTCTCGGAAATTCTAAGGGCATATTTTTAGATTTGGATTGCTTCAGTTACAACGACATGCTTCTAACACCAGGACCTACCAATGCAAACACTGAGCCTGGACAGTGGGACACTGTCAGGATAGAAGGACACAGGTGAGGAATGTGAAAGTATTTATAGATGCACAAACTCAGGTCCAGGACTTAATTTAGATTCCTGAGTGTCTACTGCACAAACAGAGGAAGGCTCTTGCCTGGGGTTCTCCATCCCAGGACCAGGTGCTAACCTGCCATTCCTATGGCCAAATTCTATTGGGACCATAGAGGTGGAACCCTAGCTCCCCACCAGTGTCATGAAACCAGCACTCTACCCACCATGGCATCTCAAGGATGGCAGGTGTGGACCCAGCAGATACTACAACTGTATCGTAATCAGGCCCCATTCTGTTTTCATTTCCCCTGGGACCACCCATGTTCTAGAAAAGACTTTCCAATATTTAGAAAGGTACACTATACAACACCTCCAGCTGGAACCAAGGCAGATGTCCCATAATCAAACACTGTTATTTTTGCTCTGAAACTTACTTACATATTTACACTGAGAGATAAATAAATGCTTCAATTGCACATCAATTTCAATTTCATTTCAGACCAAATGAATTTGATGCAAGGTTACAAAAATATCAAGGGAAGAGGGAGAAATGAATTTTCAGAACTGTTGAAATTCAGGAATTATAGATGAGGCATGGTGGGTTTAGAACTATTGACACTGCCAACAGGGGCCCAAGGCCATGTCCCAGACATCTAACCAAACTCTGGGGAGGGCAGGTATATCTGCAAAGGTTATCTGAGAGTTGGAACAATCTGAAGTCAGACAGGAGAAGATACCAAGGTAAATAATATCATTTTACAGTCAGGGACCTCAGAGAATGAGAATATGTTAACAAATATCATTGGGAAGCCTCATCAGGGGTATTTAGGACTGAGAAATACCCTGCTATGGTCTCTAATAAGACAAGGGCTATTGGAGAGGGTATGGGAGGAGAACACTGAGGAAGGGCTGGTCTTGTTCAAGTTGTTTGTCAGGAACATCTGGGTGCCACCAAAGGTGTTTGCTGCAGTCTGATCTTTCTCAGGACCCTTGGCCCTGTGCTCCTCTTTATTTCTCTCCCTGCTCTGGGCACAAAGCTCTTCCATACCAATTTCTATGTTTTCTTTATATCTCACCCTGGGATGTATCTCTGGATTGGTCACTGATTATTATAAAGCCAATTATGGCAACTATTAGTAATGCTAATCAGGGCCCTAGGAATCCAGGAATTGCTCGGAAAGGTTAGCAGAAGTTATAGGCAAGCACAGGTGTGGGAAGCCACTCTGAATGACCACACCTTCCAGTCTTGAATCACTAGGCTCTGACCAATCACTACATTTAGTGGTGACTTGGGCATTGTCCCAGTTCAGATAGCAAGGCAGGTCTTCGGGTATGGGCATCATCCATGGGAGGTGAGCTACACTCACCTATTCCTTTGTAATCCTACCCCTTGCCTCATTTGAATGGCTTCTTCCCAATAAAAGGGTTCAGCACATGTTCCTCTCTCTCTCTTTCCACAGACCCCTAAGGTCAGAGAAGCCGTCGCAGGACCCAAATACAAAGGTATCACTCTGTATGATTATTTCGTGCCAGCCCAGTTCACCTGGAGTGACCATAAGTGTTTAGTCGTGGGATGCAACACACTGGACTCTTCCATGTGCTAAAACAATGGACAGAAGATGGAAGGAAGACAGGGAAAGAAACTGCTTGGTCAATCAAGCTTAGACCTATCTAAAGGCACCAGGCCAGGCTGCATGCTCCCTCCCCAACACTCCACACCTCCTCCTGCATGTGCACACCCAGCTGTGTATATCCCACAGGTTCCTTACCAGGTGGCAGCACAGCATCACATGCATGCCCGTGTTCACCACAATCCAAGGAGGTCAGCATGATCAAGAGACTAAGTCTCAGAGTACTGTATCTTTGGAAGCAGTCACTGGGTCAGGACTCAATTGCGTTACATGATCTCAAGCAAAGTGATCTCTGCACTGTCTCAGAGCTGGTTCTTCTAACTCAATCGGTATACCGACAAGACAGCCCCCACGAAAGCATGGACTGTATGCTGTCTCTAAAGGTGCTGACCAACTGCTCATGTTGCTCTCCCTTACTTCCAAAGCCAGTCTGGCCCACAGAAAGAAAGGAGGAGCTGCAGGGAGTTTTGGAATCAAACAGACCTGGTCCGTGCCAAGGTTCTGGTACAGTGTTGCTGTGTGAGCTTAAATAGGTGAATCACACTTTCTGAGTGGCAACTCATAGTGTGGCAAGAATGAAATGAGATGATGTGTGCAGCAGCAAGTAAAAATTCTAGTAGTCAAGTGATAAATGATAAAAAAAAAAGACAGAAAGAGACTCCTCCATTATATAAAATCCTAGAGGATGCTTGAACTATAATAACTGAGCTCTGGCCAAAGATGTAGAAGAATGAGGACCAACATAATGCTGGGAACTGGAGCAGGAACCTTCTGCTGCCTTCCATGGGTTTCCTATGAAAGGACATAGAATAAGGCCTGTAAACAGTCTGGTTTCAGATATATGTTGTTTATCCTCTCAAAACATTTGCTTCCAATTAGATGTTAGATCCCTAAGGGGCGAAGCACAGAGCAACATCTCTGTAGACAACCCTTGGCACCCTTTCCATGTGGTGGCACCTGGAAAGCAGCATCAATGAACCTAGAGATGGCAATACTCCCTGATCTTCCCATACAATAGAATATTCTATTCCTTCTCTCCCTCTGGGATTTCTTCTCATTGAGTCTTTAAGAGAAGAGGGTGTGGGATTATAAATGGGATATGCAGCAAACAAGGAGCTGTTGATCTAAAAGGCACAACAGGAGTCTAGATTCTTCCATGATTCTGACACCTGGGCCCTATTAGACCTACCTTGAGGTCACAGGAGACTTTTTGGTGTGTGTGTGTGTGCATACAGACCAGCATGGAAATGGAGGGGGGGAGGGAAATTTTCTTTCCTTTAAAAAATATATCTTTTAGTAGAATAAGAAATATTTTGGTTTTCCCAATCCTTACAATTTCCTAGGTGCTAGGAGTCTTTTGTGAAAGAGGTCCTCTGGACCACACCTGAGTTTATGCTAATGAAGTGATTTAGGTTTAGGCCTTAGGTAGCTTCATGATGGGGGCTGGTCACCAGAAAGACCAATCATATTATTAAAAGGTGGGAACTTTCAATTTCTTCTCATCCCAACTCCAGGAAGGGGTGGTGGGCTGGAGACTGGGTTATAAAACAAAATTGGGTTATAACAGCAAGGTTCAGAGGACTTCTGATTCAGAGCTATGGACACAGGGATGCATGGGGGATGGCGCACTCAGAGCGGTCCAAGCTCCTCACCCCTCCCCATCCTTTGCCCTATGTCTCTTCCATTTGTGTGTTCCTGAGATACATCCTTCAGAATAAACCAGTAAACTTAAATATTCACCCCAAAACTGTAAGCTGTTCTAGAAGAATGTTGAATCTAAAGTGATGGAGGGTTGTAGAAACACCTGAATGTACAGTCAGGCAGGTGGAAGTACAGGTGTCCTGGGCACCCCACTTGCAGCAAGTGTCTGAAGTGGAGGCAGTCTTGTGGGACTGAGCTCTCAAGCTTGTGGGTTCTGACGCTAATTCAAGGTAGATAGTGTCAGAACTAAATTAAATTGTTCAACATCCAGTTGGTTGTTGCTGTTGAAAAAGATACCACATATTTGGAGTCAGAAAACACCATCCAATCATATTTTTGACAACCCTTCCAATCGACTACTTTGATCGCAAAGAAGGAAAGTGAGCCTCTTTCTATCTCTTGCCTCTGAAACTGCTTTCCCAGTGAGATATAATGATTTAATCACCCCACCCCAATCCTCTGCATGCAATCAAGGTCCTAAGCAGGTCACTGGCTGGCTAAACTATGACCCTGATGTGCTGCGTTTCGATGTGTTAGAGAAAATAAATGCAAAAAATAAAAAGGTAAACATTTTAGAAATAATTTGGTTTACAATCTAACATTCTATGATTGAATGCAATTAGTACCATAATTAGAATTAGGAGGTTAAAAATAGAGAATAAACAAAAGAAGGCTGGGAAATCTAAAGAGAAGAATGAGCAAGATATCAAAAGAAGACAGAGTTTAATGGCTCATATGTCTCTTTAGATACTGAAATGGCTGCTGTCATTTCTTCTCATACATTAAATCAGATTAGGTCTGTTAGACCTCCCAAAGTGATAAAACAGCTACAGAGACCACATACCAACTGCTTCCTCCTAGGAATATGAAGAAGTAAAAAGAGAGATCAGCAACTTCATATTCCTAAGGTTATCCGAATAATCTGAAATTCAGAAAAAAAATCAAGGACAACTGGGAGAAAGGATAATAAAATCAACAAACTTTAGGTAAAAGAGAATTTAATTATTTTTTTATTCTTCTGCCTCTTCCATTTTGCATGTATAGGAAAACTATCATTTGCAGTAAACTAACCTAGAGTTTAAATACCCTAGAGAAAAAGTTATGTGGATTCAGATTTTCAGAACAGGAATTCAGCAACATAAAACTGTGGAAAATAAAAATCCATGGCTCAGAGCCTTTTCCTTGAATCTGTTTACCTCCTGCCCACATTACTACTTTTCCAGGTACTCTGCCCTTTCTGCCTTCAATATCTAGCTTTGGTTCCTGTACATGTCCACTACTCAGGCTGGGTTACGCCAGGCTGATCACTCATGATGAAACCCAAGAACAAGGACCATTTAGAAATGGTCTTGGGGAAGCTTCCAAGCTTGCCCTTGGTTGAGGATCTCTTGCCCAAATCTCCCAAGTCCATGGTGTGACACATAAGAGCACCAGGGCTTCTAGACTGAAGCACCAAGCAGGAGCCGGGGACACAGAGGCACAGGATTGAATCTTGGAACTGTTAAGAGTTGTTTTAAACCCAAGATTCTTGGGATGCCCTAAAAATTTAGTTGGAGTACTTTCACAGTTTCTGCATCACCATTCCAAATTAATGTCATTATTCAGCTTTATAAGTGCACTTGCCATAAGGGAATTGGCTTTCAATATGGCAGGCACCTGAAAAGAAGTATCAATTAATAATGAAATGCTAGTGCTCCCAGATCTTCCTATTTAGAGGAGTTTGGGACTTTACCTGTATCCCATTACTATAAAACAGGATTGTTCCCACCTGTGACTTCTTCCATCCTTCCATCAGTCTGTCCCCTGCAATATCTCTAAGAAACCACTTGGTCTTGGTATGTCAAGCTTTTCTACTTTCTTCTGACTTAAAAAAAATTAATTGGCATATAACTGCACATACTTATGGAGTGGAGTGTGATAATTCAACACATGTATACAATGTGTAATGATTAAATCAGAGTAATTAGCATTTCCATATCCTCAAACATTTATCATCTCTTAGTGGTTAACCTTTCCTTAAATGTGTTAATTACACAGCCTGATTGTAAATGGCTGAGAGTGGAAACTGTCTTACATTTTTAGGTGCCCTCACATGGCCTCATTCAGTATCTTCCACATATTAGGTGCTCCCAAAGGTAAGTTGAATAGGTAAAGGAGATTTTTTTTAAATGAAGGTACAGATGGTTCTGCAAATGCAAGTATTAATTAGAAATAAGCTGGGCTTCAAAGAAATTTAAGATCTCTGGTGACATCCTCCAAAGCAAAGATTTTATTTATGGAGCACCTGAACTCAATACAGTAAGTAATAATCCAGTTATATTTTTTCCTGAAAACCAATACACTTTAAAATATTGCCTTATCATATACTCTGCTGAAGACCAATGACTTAGAGCTAAGATAGGTGGGCACCAGAGAGAGAGCTGTCCATGGCACTTATTTTGTAAGAAAAACATCAGTAACAGCTCTGTTCCTTAGAGGGCACAGGGAAAGCATCTGCATCATCTCCCAAGTTGCCAGAGCTTTACCTTATATTGAAGTGTCCCAATGTTATGCAGGTGTTGGCTTTATGTTGTATTGTAATATCTTAGGCCATTCTGGCAAGGCAGTGGGCTAGGAGCTAGGGGTCATAACAGTGAATAAATCTAGCTAGAGCCCTGCTCTCCTGGTGCACACATGCTAGTGGAGGCAAGGCAAGGAACTTGGAGGTTAGGAACAAACACAAGTGAATACAAAATATGTATGATGGTAAGAAGTGCTTTGGAAGAAAAATTGAAGCAATGTAAAGGGAATATAGTGGGGGCTGGTATGTAGATAGGTGGTAGAGCACTAGCCTAGCATGTGAAGGTCCTGGGGTTCAACCCCTAGCGCTGCAAAAGAGTGGGGACAGAGTAGGCTGGAAGTAGCAGGGAGTGTTTGGGGCAATACACAGGAGCTTAGGGAAGACATACTGAAACAGTTGTTTAGGAAGAGACCAATAAGAAGTAAACAAGCAAATCAACTGGTTCTTAAGAACCTTCCAGGCAGAGAGAGTAGTAAATGCAAAGGCCTGGAGGTGGACATGTATTTGGATAACGTATGCATTACTTACATCAAAAGGGCAGGAAACACTGCTAGGAAAGAAGACAGAGAAGATGGGAAAGGAAGGATGGTCTAAGCAGGGAGCAATCAAAGGTGACTTCAAGGCACTTTAGCTCTTAATTTCCACAGGGAGGCAGGACACCCTGGAGAGATGAGCCTGAGAGGCATGTGACTAATACTTCATTGTATCTTAAAGGATCACACAGGCTGCTATGTTGAGAACAGACATCATTAGAGGAGGCAAGCACTGCACAGAAGACTGGCCTGGAGACTCCACAATACAGGAGATGAGACAAGATGCCAGTTTAGACCAGATGTGAAGTGGTTAGATCTTGGATCTGTTTAAAATGTTAAGATGTCAGAATTTGCTAATGAAACAGATGTGAGATCTGAAAGACAAGAGTTAAAGGTGACACTGAGGTTTTTGCATTGTGCAGATGGATAATGGGACAGCCATCTACCCAGACAAGGATGACTGTGGAAAGAGGCATGAATGTGAATGAAGAGAAAGGTAGTGGGGACAACTGTTAAAGGGATGCTCTCAGCAGGTGCCAGAGGATGGGACATGTCCACTGGAGGCAGGGCTAGCCTTCCAGGGTGGAACAAATCATGCATCCCAGGGAAAAGGAGGGAAGCTAGAATAGGTGGGCACAAGAAAAGGGATGGGATGTACCTACTGAAGCATACTGCTTTAAATGCTGCAGGAGAAAACTCCCAAAGACTCCACCCTACTCATTATGGGCAGGTTCTGCAAGAGGTCTCATGCATAGCTTAGTGCACCTCTGGGACACTTAGCAAATGGATTTAAGCAGATCTGTTTTCTCTCTCTCAGCTCTGCATGGCATTCCCACAGACTCACCTGGGAATACATAGGCCCTCACTTTTATTTCTCCTCCCCACTCCACTTTACAAAGAAAGGCATTCTTCACTTAACTCATCTTGGGAGACTGAACTAAGAACTAACAAAGATTCGCCTGCAGTTGTCTCTGTGTATGAATTACCTTAAAAAACTGAGTGACAAATAATTTAAAAGGTGAGGGGGTAATCCTTTTATTTTTTGCTTTCAATAAAAATGAAGAAAAAACTAATTAAGTTGCCAACTGATGCATTTGATGGAAACAATGTTATTTTGGGCATAAAATCTGGAAGAAGTTCAAAGAATTGAATGATATTTTTTAACAAAAAGTCTTTCATTACCAACTCAAGATGTTCCTGCATCTATTAACAAAATAAGTTAAAGAACTGATGATGACAACTGTATTGTTCTGTTCTCTTGTGTCTAGAAATAAGAGAATCACCTGTGGATACATAAATTAATTTAAAACAAACCCCCATCTTGACACAGACATGAATTTCCAATATAAAAAGTATTGAATATTATGTATTAAAATTTATACCAATAAAAATGTGCCAATAATAATAGCAATATTAAGTCAAATCTGAAGAACTTTTTAAACACTTATGGTCTGAAGGAATAATTTATATGTAAACATTTACATTTAAGAAAAAATGAGTTATAGTGATTAATAAAAGTCTTTCAAATACAAAATTATTTTGCATTATTTATAAAACCCTGCATGAAAAGCATAACAGAAATGCAGATGCAAGGAGAAAAAGAGGATATGTAAAACATTAAACAGCAAAAGAAGGGTTTGCTTATATTGTTTTTTAAGGGAATGATATGGACACAGAGTTAATTATTATCATTATTATGGTATTAAGATTCCATGTGAAATAAAGACTAACAGTTTTATGTTTGAATTTCAATATTTACAACTTGATGGCATGATATCACCTGTAATTAATTGAATTTAGATTAGCATCATAGATATCAAGTTAAAAATCCAGGAATAGAAAACAAATTGAGTATCCCTTATCCAAAATACTTGGGAACTATTTCAGATTTTGAAGTTTTTTTGAATTTTGGTATATTTGTGTAGATTTTGCTGGTTGAAGATCTCTAACTGAAAAACTCTAAAAACTTGAAGTCCGAAATCTGAAAGAGTTTGAATGTCATGTTCAAAATGTTTCAGATTTCATAGCATTTCAGACTATGGATTTTAGATTAGGGATGCTCAACCTATATAGTCTTTAGAGGTTTTTACAGAAGTCACTACAGCATGAAATGTGAAGACTTATAGCACAGAAACTCTCAGACTGAGTCAAACATGCATCTCTTGAGGGTACAGAAGACAGGCAGGTGCTGCAGAGCACTAGGGAGTGGCTACAGCACAGGTTGGGACCATCTAAATGCTGCCCTGCATCTTATTATTTTTCTTGCCTGAAGTGGTTTTGAAATGTCCCCAGATCACCCAGTAGTACAATAGAAGCACGCATCAAGCCCTGCTGTTTTTCAGTATTGAATATTCAATGCCAACCTAAAGGACTCTCTAAGCCAGAAATTTATAGTCTGCAGCATGACACCTCCAGCATTCGTTGCTGGCAGGTGTAGAGTCAGGGGTGACAGCCTGGGCTTTTCCTCACAGAACCTCTGCCTTCCCTGCTGATCAAGCACATGCATCCCAGAAGCATGAATAGGCAGACACAGAAGCAAGGATGCCACTGTCTTAACTTACCATTTGCAGCCAAATATTGGTGGTTAAAACTTGGTTCTTCTCATCCTAAAAAAGAAAAAAAAAAAGAAAGAAGAAAAAAGAAAAAAAAGCAGCATAAATACAGCTTATGTACTTTACAAAAGAAGGAATGATACAATTATTCATGTAGAAATTTGACTATTGGGATCATTGTTGTATGTGCAAATTAGAATGCACCAAGCACTTCCAAATCTATGCCAGCAGCATTTCCCCAGAGTTAAGCTTTTCTATTCATTCTGAAGTAATACACATTTATTATAGAGCACTTACAAAGGATGGCAGAGTATAAAGAAGGAAATTAAAATTGGGCAGCCCTACCATCCAGAAATGATGTCTGCTAAGGACTTTGCTATTTATCTTATTTATAATTTACATACTTTAAAAATTGGGTGCAAATTTTAATTTTTAAAGGCAGTTTTATTGCTAGAATTTATGTACTTTTAAACAAATATTCAATGCTTCCCTCCCAAAAAAGCATGGCCCCATGTCAAGCAGCCCCACCCTATGTTGAGAATGCTGTAGCCTATAGCTCTGCCTCATCCCTGTGGGTTTGGGTCTTCTAATATTCTCTACCTGACCAGTCAACATGTCAGGCCCCTGCCATACATCTGCAAAATAAATCCTACACAACTGAGTAAACTAAGGGTTAGGAAAGTGAGGCAACTTTACAAAAAATACACTCACACTGGGATATGTCTGACTCCAGGACCCGTTTTTCTGCATTTCCAAGATACCTTTCTGAATAGGGATCCAGCAAGGCATCAAGTTTGTGCATCAGCCACTGAGCCCAGCACAGTGTATCAACGTTGTTCAAACACCAAGCATCTACTACAGTTTGGATCATAAGTATTCCTCAAAGGCCTGGAGCTTTGGAAGGGTCTAGAGCTTTTAAGAGGTGGGGATCTAGGGACTGGGGTTGTGGCTCAGAGGTAGAGAGTTTGCCTAGCATGTGTGAGGCACTGGGTTCGATTCTCAGCGCCACGTAAACAAATTAAATTTAAAAAATAAAGTTATTGTGTCCATCTACAACTAAAAAAAAATTTTTTTAAAGAGATGGGGCCTAGTAGGCAGTCTTTAGGTCATTAGGGGATTGCTCTTGAAGGGGGCAGACAGTGGGACTCCAGCCCCTTCCTCTTCCTCTCTTTCAATTCCTGGCAGATCGTGAGCAGGTCTGCTCTGCCACATGCTCCTGCCACAATGAGCTGTCTTGCTACAGTCCTAAAGGAAGAGGCCAACCAATAACAGACAGAAACTTCCAAAACCATGGACCAAAATAAACCTCCTCTTTTTGTAGGCTGATTACTTCAAGTATTATTACAGTGATGGAAAGTGAACTAGCATACCATGTAAAGAAGAGTCTAGTCAAACTTGCCCTTTACAACTGGGATGCAAGCAGTACTTTATCACTGGCCAAGTCCAGCAGGGTCTAGCAAAAAACAATTCACAAAGAGGCAACTGAGCAACTTTTATACAATAGTTATACTAGAATGTTGTTGTTTTAGTATTGAATCCTCTCAACTTCAACCTAAAGGATTCCGTATATTAGCAACTAACACCCTCTCCAGGGAAAGTATTTATTAATGTTAGCGTGAAGACTTGCCTGGAAGCTGAGACCTCAAGTTCCTGTAATAGGAATTACTTGTTCTGGTTCACTAATGGGAAGTCACCAAAAACAGGCCCAATGATTGAAAGCATCTAGCATCTGCCAGGGTGTAGTCCGCAGGCAGGGATGCAAATGAGAACTGAATGCTGCTTCTTATTAAAATAAAAATGTGGTATACAGGTAAGAAGTTGGGAGGGACACTCTGACATATCCATGCCCCTGTGCCCTGCTGCTCACCTGCTGAGTACCTTTGAGGGTGAGATGGGTGGGGTTGGGCAGATACCACAGAGAGGATACTGCTCCCGGTGGACTATATCTCAGAGGGTTCCCAGGACAGGGGATATGCTTAGGAGAAATTGACAGTTCTGTAACAGAGGAAAGACATTTCCTTTTCCAAAACAACACAAGCCAATATATTTTCATGGTAAAAAGTTGTTGAGCTAACAGTTCTCCGTATTCCACACCAGGAGCCATATGTTGAAACTGTACATGTGCTCAGTTCCAGTTCTGTCTCCTATTCCTTAAGCTCTTCAGGACATGAATCTGCTGCCTCAACTTATTAAGCAGCTGTTGTTTTTAATGGACTTAGAATTAGCAAGTTTCCACATTTAGGTGCCTTTTCTTCTTTTAATTGCATTTGTGTCTTCCTCTCCTGAGAGAAAGGCTTCTGCGGTTTGGGAGCTCAATTACTACCAATCTAATTAAAAGGTTTTTTTCTTTCCAGCATTCAAACGGAAACCTCATTAGAGTGACACTGGATTTCTGTGCTGTGTGGCAGCATGGGACCAAAGTATAGCATTTCAATCTGTAATCAACAACAAGCAGCAGCCAGCCACCACCTGACAGCACAGCAATGCCAAGAGGGGCCCTCTGCTGAGGCTCCAAAGGAAGCCCGTTGTAGTCAGAGGGCTCCACTCTCCAAATGCATCTCCTTCCTCCCCTCACTGGCTCAGGGCCGCACCCACAGGGTGACAAGGTCTCACACTTTCTCCCACCTGCAATATGCTGACTCATGCATACACACATATGTGCATACTCACATTTGTCCTCTGCTCACCTCCTCATGGGGCTTTCTGAACACAAATATAATCAGTTCATCCTCTTTCAACTTCACTGAACAAAGAATCAAGTCAAAAATCCCTTACTCAGTGCACAAGCCTTTTCTCTGTGGTCCAGCCAAGTTTTCCTTCATTCATTCGTTTGCTCATTCATTCATTCAACAAATGTTATGAAGCACTTCCTGTTTCAGGCAATATGCTGGCCTGATATGTAATGTGGTAATTGAACACTGTTCCTGAGCTCCTGGAAGATAAAATGGGGGAGCTTGCCAAGGCTCTATTCAGGTGGAAAACAACATCCCACAGGTACCCCAGGGCTGGTAATTAGCAAGCAATGCAGTTTCTGTGTCTTAGCCTGTTTAGGATGTTTTAAAAAACAATATAAACTGAGAGGCTTATAAACAACAGGAATTTATTTATCAGTTTGGAGAATGGAAGTCTGACATCAAGGTGCTGGTATAATTGAATTCTGCTGTCTGGTGAGGGCCTGCTTCATGGTTCATAAGTGGTGGTCTTCTGCCTGTGTCTTTACATGGTGAAAGGGGTGAAATCAGCTTTCTGGAGTCTCTTTTATAAGGGGACTAGTCCAATCTGGGAGGGAGCCATTCTCAGGACTGAATTACTTCCCATGGACCCCACCCCCAATATCATCTTGTGGCTTAGGATTTCAACATATGAATGGGGAGGGCACAAATATTCAGACCATAGCACTCTTAAAATTGTTTTCAGTAATTCCAGATCAACCATCTGGCTATTACTGCCCTGTCCACACTGAGTAGGACAGCAATGAAAAATTAGAGACCATGTGGGCCAAAGGATCTCTGGGTCTAATCTCAGTTACCCAGCCAGTAGGCACTTGTAGTCTTTGGGCTTCAATCTTCTCTCCTTGGAAATGAGAATATTAACAGCTGCTTTATGTGCCTCCTATAGCCAGTGGTATTAAGGGTAGCACCACTCAATCCATGAAATGTCACTCAGCATTAGCAGCTGTCCCTGTGCAGCTGCTTGCCCATGGATCTCCCTGAAGAACATGCTCCTGCCTGCCTTGAGGACTCAGGAGAAGCCTATCATGGAAGCAAAGAAGGTCAGTGTGGCACCGTACCCCAGAGTCAAGTGGCCTGACTCTCCTCACTCTTTTTTAGATTGAGCACATCACTGAAGAGCACACTTTGATTTATATGAACACACTTTTTAAAAAAATCAATATTTCTGAATAATTGTGTATCTTATTTAAGTACAACTGTTCCGATGATGTGTAATGTGCTATCTTGCATTCTTATAGCAGGTATTCTCTTGGAAGTTAAGGAAAGAATTATTCAACATTATTTCACTGCTTTCTTTGCTTTTGAGTAGATGCTGAGGAAAACAAAACAAAACAAAATATGTAACACTAGATCTAACCATGTCTAAATTCTTGCTTGCAGGGAAGACCACTGGATGATATAAATTCACATTTTTGTAGCACTGTATAGTTTATAACAAGGATGGCTTCTTTTATCCAATTTAATCTTTACACCAACCATATTTTATCCTAGTTTTACAGAATAATAAACTGAGAGTCTATGATTTTTTTCTGTGTCAGCAACATATTAAGTCTGACAAAAGACTGATAGAGTAAGAAATAAACTCCTACAAATCAATAAGAATAAAGGCAGACAATCCAACAGAAAAAAAATGGGCAAAAGATGAACAAGCACTTTACTAAACAGAATTTCTATGATAACCTGAACAGGGCATGGCTAACCATTAAACAGAGTTTTTATTCTTGTAAATGTCATACATACATGGACACGCATGTGCACAATGTGTAACTCACTTTGGCCTAGTGGCATCTCAGCAAAGCTGGAAATATTGTTTTTTCTCATTTAATCATGAGAATTACTAATTTTATTTGCCTCTGTTCTGTTTGAATGCTTTGTTGTAAGCATATATTACCTTTATAATCGAAGGGAAAAGGGGACGCTTAAATAATCAATTGTGGAACAAAACAAAATAAACTCCTGGCTTTTATATTCAAAAGTAAAAGCTGAGATCCAGCCTCTTATTCTTCTAGCTGGATGATTGTGTTCTGAACCACGATTTCATCCTGACACTTATGCCATAACCATGGGCACTTTGATTATGATAATGGAAAAAAAGTTTTCTTTGGTATTTGTTCAGAGCAGAAGTTCTCAAAGCACAGGCTGGGAACCTCTGGGTTTCTGAGATGAGGGCAGAACGGTTGTTTTTGATCAGTGACTCAAAACTTTTCTCATTGGGACTCGGGATGTAGTTCTGTGGTGGAGGGCATGCTTAGCATGCATGAGGCCTAGGTTTGATCCAGAACACAAAAAAAAAAAGAAAGACAGAAATAAAGGGAAAGAAAG